TATGTATGTATTTTATATATATATATATATATATATATGTGTTATATAAATACAGATAGATAGGTAGATAGGTAGATAGGTATGCATATATGATTTTTGATGTACCTTTATGTATATATACATATATACATATATATATATATACTGTCGTTATGTACTTGTAATATATTGTAGTTTGTCATTTCGTGTTATATGATTCCGACCCCTGCCTCGCAGGATTCTCACGATGAGCGAGGCCTACTGGTCGGTGGACGCCCCGCTGCATGGGACCCTGGCAGAGGCAAGAACTTCAATGCGCCCCTGAACCCTGAACACTCCACCCTAAGCCGAAGCCCTAAAGCATGTGTGGCTCATAGGTGGGTGGATTGAAACCCGGCCTTTTCTCGCCAGTAGTACTCAGTAGCATTGCGATTTGGGAATGTCAACAGACTTACAGCCTTAGTCCTTGATTCCATGATACTACAATACCAACTACAACAGCCTCCGTGACCACCACTATCACAGTCGCCCTGCGGCAGAACCGTCGTCATCATCATCGTCGTCATCAACACCATCATCATCCCCACATGATTATTTCCGCCTCCTGATCATCATCAAACTCACCATCGGTATGATCATCAAACTCATGATCATCATGATAAATCGGCACGACTATCATCAGCATCATCACCACACTCGTTATGAGTACCACCATTATCATCATCATCATCATCATCATCATAACCATCACCATCATCATCATCGTCGTCACCCGGCCTTCAGTTGCGATGACTATTCGCCATGTGTTTAGTTTTTTTCTCGTTATAGTTTGCAAGCCTGGCCTAACGCCAGGAGTCTGCACTGGAGAAGCATTACGGCCAGGGCGATGAACGCGAGGCCAAAAAGTAAGTTAAGGAAAGCAGCACAGGACCTCTGCAATGTTACGGAATCTCGCGCATGCATCTTCAGCGGCTTAGACCAGATGGGTACATTGTCGATCTTAGGAGTGGCCCTGAGCAGGCTGCTTACCAATTCTTCACGGAAGTGCTCAGAGTCAAGCCGATCCTGTCAGCCGCGGACTGGCATCAGATCCAGTTGAACCAGGCATCCGAGCCGGATCGTTTGGAAGGTTCCCAATTCAATGCTGCGCGTGATCCGTATCTATCCTGGCAACTGTAAGAGGAGACTCACTGTTAAAGTTAAAGATATCAAAGTAGAGTTGCCTCGGGTTTGGAGCTCCGAACTCCTCGTCCCAAACGATCAGCTGAAGACAGTCAAACTGACGCTTTGGCAGGCCCAGTCACGTCCTCTGACGACGGACGAGAGGGTGGACGACCCCATCCAGGAGAGTCTAGATGCTCGTGTGTGAGCCCGAACTACTGAAGCCTCAGGAGTAAAGTGTAAATCCAGAGCACATGTGTAAAGTAAAGTCACATCTCATGTCCCATGCTTGAGGTACTTGAGAAGCTTGGGGTGCGACTACGATGACCTTCTCAGACCCCTATACTGTAGATCAGGGAGGGGAACTTAGGCCTAAACCCTAAACCCTAAACCCTAAACCCTAAACCCCAGTCGCTGTGATGCATGGGTCGTTTCCTCTCAGCCTTATCCGGGAAACTCTCTCTGCAGGCCCGACAATTTAGCAAGTTAGACTAGGTTAGACTATATTCTAGGCAGGCCTTTGGGACATTCTATATTTCCCTTGGTTGGGCTTTAGAGGATTTTATTTAGGAATATGTTTCAGAGGCTTTGAGGGGCCAACCTAGTATTGTATGACAGGAGGGATTGCGCCTGTTCGCCGCCAAGGCCGGTCTCCCAAGTGCTTGGAATCCTACCTATAGTCTCCATTGTAGTTCCTTTTTGGGGGTTCCCTAGGATCCTCAACATAAAATTGGTTTAACCAAAAAAAGAACTACAATGGAGACTACAGGTACTTTGCCTCTTGTGCCAGCCGTGCCAGGTGCCGTCACCGACTCCCGTTCCCTTGGATCTTAATCGTGCACTCCAGGCAGGGGAAACACAGGCATCTTGTGCGATTCAGGGCGGGTCTGGGTAGGTGCGATGGTCTGACTGACGATGGCGATCTTACGTCACGTCTGTGGGAACGAACGAACTGAACGAGGGAACTATCTGGTACGTATAGATCACCGTGGTTTACACTGCTTGGAGTTTGGGATGCTAAAGATACCATCAGAATCAACACCATTTTGCTGACCGTTCCGGTCCTTGCTAGCGGCCTTCACAAACCGCCCTTACTCGCAGTTTCGGGAGGTGTTCGCCTAAGGTCGCGACACTTAAATCCTAGGGAATAATTCTTTCCATCAGCATCACCGACCATCGTGATCTTCATCAAGGTCGCCATGGTGTTCATCTTCCTACTCCACAACATTCACCCTCATGTTGTGCATCGTCTTACTCAGCATCCTGTCATTCGCCAAGATTGCCATCGCGTCGTCATATATACATGTTCATATACATGATGACAGACATACATATGCAAGTTCATATTAGTACCATGCTCATCGGCATCAGCATCCTGAATCCTACCAAGGATCATATAGAAGACTGTCTATTGCTTACCAAGCTGAACATGTACCCGATAGTGCAGGCAGCCTACGATCGCGTGAACCATTCTCAGCCTCCAGAAGAGGAGCCTGGGTGGGTGATACAGAGTTTGATAGCGGGTTTCGGGCTGCACCATTTTAAACTGTTGGACGTCGGCGTGGTGCTTGTCATTCACACCTGTCCAGAGTGTAACAATGAGGGCGCGCATGGATACATGATGCGTCTGCATCATCTAATCTACGATTGCTTTCGTCTGTTTGCTGAGTATGCGTACTTATCTCAGCGCTGTCTGTCTCGTCTCGCTCAGCGTTGCCTTGCCTGGGACGAAGGGGAGGTGTAAGGCTGCGGCTATGCCAGGCTGTCGGCTGGTGTGGTAGTACTTAAAGAAATGGGACTTAGTGAGTAGGGTTATAACTAAGGTAACTATACTTATAACCCCAATAGGGTGACTTATAACCTTACTTACTAAGTCCCATGATCCTCCAAGCAGTGGAGTGATGGTAGTAGTTGGAGTGGTGTGCCAATGGTAGTACTAGTCGTCGCGAAACGTACTCGGTACTAGTTTTGATGGTAGTGCGTGCAGTACAAGTAGTACAAGTATGGTACTACCAGTACTTCTAGTACTGCTATTGTACATCAATTCAGGGATCCTACTGATCCTACTGTTTGGGATTTATCTTGCCTGAAGGCACGGAACCAGAAAACAGCACGGTTCTCCCCGCAAACTTCCAAGCATGACGTCGCGGCGTGCGCAGGGCCCGGAGTCCGGGGGATCCCAAAGCTCCTCTTGGAATCAAGGCTGGGTTCAGGGTTTAGGGTTTAGGGTTTAGGGTTTAGCGTTTAGGGTTTAGGGTTTAGGGTTTAGCGTTTAGGGTTTAGGGTTTAGGGTTTAGGGTGGTGAAGTCTTGGTGGCTCTGGACTCGGGGATGTTGCAATTTCTTGGAGTTGAAAGGGTTTAGTCCACTAGTTCTGCGTTTACAGTCACGATTATGAGCACCGCAAGCTGAGTTATCATGACAGGGCCTCGAGTTTGGCGGCACGTTGGATTCCTGGGCAGCCATCAGCACAGACTCTTGCCTGCATTTGCCACAGCAGAATGCCAACAGCGACCGCAGTGCTGTGACCGCGTGTGCTCGGCAAAATGACTGTGAGCATCGTGAGAAAACTGAAGAACAGCAGACTAGGTCGACTAGGTCTGCGAGACATGCACTGCAAGAGAGCTGCTCGATCTTCTGCGAGGCTTCCCACTTTTTGCAGCGAATGATGTGCAGCCGCCGATGGTGGAAACCTCTGAAGATGAAGTTCAGCTTCTGTAGCTTGGCATGCTCTCAGAAGTCTTAGAACCTTCTTCGCACTTCGTTGCACTAAACTCCAATCAACAAGTCGGCTCCCTAGAGGTCCCAAAACCCTAAACCCGAATTGTCATGCCGAGGGCCTCAGGGTACAATCGCTCAATGACAGCTGCTCTTAACGGGGACCCTCCTTGTACCCTCAAGAAGGGGTAGATATGGTCCCAAATAATGGGTGCTTAGGGTCGACTAGAGGGTAGATGGAGGGTCTGGGAAGGCAACCGGAAAGAAAGCCAACCCAGGTTACAGCTTTGTCGCCAGTTTGGTCTCTATCCGGAGCATCTGGCATTCGCCTACGATCCCTCCGGGCTCAGCGTGGGCCGGGAGAAAATGCAACCTTGCAGCACTAGCGCCGGAGATTAGGCGGCTTACCTCCAACCCTTGGATACGTCGACTTGAAGCCACATCTCCCCATCGCTTCTTGTTGAGGGCAAGAAAGCGGAGCAGCGGATTTGGCATAGTACAGCTGATAGTGTATCGCGGCCGTATGGAAGCCAAGAAGTTAACACAGTTACTGAGGTTCTTGGACGTGAAATACCTGCAACGGTCAAGGTTGCTCCACGCCCAGGCGCCAACGGGGTTTGGCGTGCAAGGAAAGGTTTCCGTCACAGGGTTTTCATAAGATTCTAGGCTGAAGGGTTAGGGGATTCATGCTAACCTTGAACCCTAAACCCTAAACCTTAAGCGAGGTGGACGAAGGCTCTCAAGAAAAAAAACCCTAAACCCTGAGCTAAGGTTTCTTACGGCATGGCTTTGGGGTTTAGGGGAAGTCTGGAACCCGAAGGCGCGAGGCTCATTGCCCGAGACGTGGTGGCCGTGTAGCACTTGCGGGTGCGCCCCAAAACCCGGTGTAAGCGAGGATCTGACAAATTTAAGGTAAGGCTCTTACCTGTAGTCTCCGTTGTAGTTCTTTTTTTGGTTTAACCAATTATAGATTAAGGTTTTTATAAGGCATCCCCAAAAAGGAACTACGATGGAGACTATAGGTAGACTAAAACATGCTAATTCTGGTGGTTCTTTACTATAACTCTATAGTAACTCTAGTATAAACGACCCCAAACCGTATTCTGATTATTAAGGCCCCTACATTACTGCGGAAGCTTTCTGCCCTCAGCCAGGCCGGCTACGAAGCCATGGTCTCCTATTGGAGTGGCAAGTTCGCCAAGCTGGTGGCGAACCGTGGCCTCCTGGCTAAACGCACTTCTGGGTTCTTCGGATCGTACCCGGTATATCTTTATATCATTTAATATGATAAGGTTGAGGGTTTAGGGTTCACCCGGTATATCTTTACATCATGTATGATAAGGTTGAGGGTTTATTGTTCTTCGGAGTACCAGGTATATCTTTGCATCATTTATCTGATAAGGAACCTGAAGTGGCGAAACTCTGCGCAGATCGCTTCCTATGGAATGCCGGAGACAGTTTCAGAAAGCTTTGGAGGGCGTGTTGCAAACATGCCGCTGTTTTTTGGACTGCAGGTCGATGACCTGCCACTCCCTAACCCTCCAGGTACCTACTATATAGGGCCTTAGGGGCTCTAGTACCCTATATAGTAGATAACTGGGGGGTTAGCCACTGCCATGTTTACAGATCCGCTTGCTGCACTTCTGCGGCTCGCGTCGGTCTGCAAGATCTGCATCCTCGGAAGTCTTTTTCTGCAGTGTCCTACACAATTCGTGATGAAACATACCCCTGGGGTATTCGGACAGGCCGTATAGCTTTCATATTCAGGCACTTGCTACAGAATCTTTTCCTGCGAGTGGCAAGGTGGGGAGGGGATTGGCAACAGGAGTTTCGTGAAGCAGCGCCAGCAAATTGACGGCTAGTGCCGGGGATGCTCAGAAAGCTTCGGGTGAAATCAAATCGCATTATCTATCTTCGCACTGCTCCAAGCCTTGACCTGCGCCTTGCAGTTGGGAATCTCTTGTCGTGTCAGGTCCTGTCGACGCGGAGGGCGCAACTTTGTTAACGTCGAATCTTGCATGTCTTGCTTCCAGACTGATGCGAGCAACTGCGACCGTTGGCTTGCTGGAAGAAAGATTGACGGCATGTGCACAGCTCCTACTTGTAGTGTGGCATCCTGCTGTTTCATATGCACCTCATGCAAACGAAGCATGCTTCGAATATCGGCAAAGTGCGAAGTCAAACCAAGCACTCCGCAGCGAGCATTACGCTTGATTCCGATACAAAAAGGGCGAGAGAGTTAGCTCCATGTACACCTGGCTTGCTTCGGTTCATACGATATGATCAACCTTTGCCAGGAACCACCTGCTTCAGATGGTGTAGTCCTCAGAACCAGGGGACTTGGCGGAGGGCTTTGGCTTCCAACTTGCAACTTCAAGTCTGAGTGCAGCCTTGTTGTTTTGTCCTTTCAGCACAAAGCTGTGTGCATGTTCTTGCGTGGCATCACGCTTGTTCAGGTTCTGCCGAACATCCTGCAGGGGGACATGCAGTAGTGACATTTTGCAGGCTCCTGCAAGCGTCTCTAGGATTTCAGGAGTGTTGAAGCGCTTAGGCTTGTGAACCGCAATGAAGCTGCTTCATGCCGAGTCTTGTACGCTTGCCTGGCCTGTCCACTTCTTTCCAACAGATCTGCCGGCTGCTGCGCTGATGGTGTGCCAATATGCTCCGAAACACCATGCACCCCTGGAGCTTGTAGGCTTTTATAAGTGTATGAGCTACAGCCAAATCCTGAGTCTTGCAATCCAGGAGGTTTCCGGAAGCATTTCGCCAGATGCGTTCGCGAGTAGCAGCAGGCATTCAGTCAGCATCAAAGCAGGCCCATACGGTATGAAGAGACTGCTAGCGGCGAGTGCCCTCTCTTTGATGCCAGGCAGTGTTCTGGATGCGGCATGCAACAATATGCCCTCCTGAAGTGTTGAAAGCTGCCACACCAAAACTTCATGCTGCACATGCTGAACTGCAGATAGATCCTTGCCCCAATCTCGGCACAAAATTCCCAACATCATTCCAGAGCTCTACTTGTGTCTGCCTGGTATGCTCCGCCCAATGCTCTTGGAAATTAAACCGAAACCCATATGCCAAGCTTTGGATTCGACCGAGGGCTTGAGCCTTTCACCACTCGTCCGTTCCCAAAACGAGGGTGTTCTTTCGCCCCTTTGGCGGTGGCCAAGAGAGGGTGTGGAATCCGTGATTCGGAGAAGCTGTCAGGAGGTGTGGCTCTTGGAAAAGACTCGAGCTCCTGTCCGCTTCTCCTCAGTCTTGGGACCCTGAACCCTAAAACCCTAAACTCTAAAACCTAAAACCTAAAACCTGAGACCAGGAGCAGCTCTAGGCACATGAGGGCATGGAATCTCTGCAGAAGCCCCGAGCCCATGCATCCCACTTGCTTTCGGCTCACCGATCCGCCAAGTTGGACACCGAAGCTGAGCCCGACCCAGAAAAGCTGATCCATGCCTTGCCGCAAACCACCTTCGTCAGCTTGTTGTCGAGTTCACCATGTTCCCACGCCCCCCGGCAGTTTGTAGCTTGTCCACCGTGGGGGTCTCTGCATGCTGCAGGCTTGCACTAACTCTGCCACGTGCCATGCGAGCTTCATCTCGCGGCTTATTCGAGGCGGAAGCCCGAAAGCCACAAGCCAAACCAGACTCTCTGCACTCCTAAACCTCCGAGACTTTCGGTGCTGTCACGCCACGACCACACATTGTGCCGATGGCTCGGGGAGACCATGTCGGGCTCTCAGTGCGCGCTTGAGCAGCCTTTTTGCAGCGATCTCTTGTCCGACTTGTTGGGGCAGAGGATTTTAGGGTTCAGGGTTTAGAGCTTTTAGGGCTTGCAGGTTCGGTTCAGGACTTGTGGAATTCTTCTGCAATTACCGCATCCGGATTTTTTGTTCGGTACGCTTCTGGCGATCTGCAGTGCCCGTGAAGTGGGGGCCTTTGGGCCGAGCTCAGGGAACCCATACCCCCTGATTAAGGAATACCTGGAACCCCGAAACCATGGTA